TGTCCAGTAAAATTTTATAAATTTACACCTAAAGATCTTAAAGGCTGTCCTTTTATCGCATTAGTATGTGTTGGAACACACAATCATCCGCCATCTCCTCCTGAAAAAATTCTTGCAGATATAAAAGCAAATTTGCAAATATTAATTAATCAAGCAATTAGTGAAAATGATGCGATTACTTCAAGAAATATTTACTCACATATGTAATTACTTTATTTATTTATTTAATATTTTATTAACTTAAAATTTTTATTTTAAAATTATGAATTCTTTAGATAATTTAATAAAGTCATTTTTTAAATCAGAAGCACTTTCGGATATTCATCAATCATTAAACAGTGTTGATAAATTGCGAATTCTTGTTGCAAAAGCTTACAAAAATTTGCATCCTTACGGTCAAGGAATATTGGGCGTTTTTTATGCTGCTAAAAATAATCATCAAGAATTAAAAAATTATATTCAACGTATTGGTATGTTTAATTTATAATCAAATGTTAATTTTATAAAATATAATAATTTAAATTTTTTATTTATTTAGAGTGGCTCAATACCAATTTAATTTTAATTATCTGCATGTCAAAAAAACAAGCAGAATTGTTGATCAACTTAAAAAGTTTCCAAATTGATTTATCTTTTAAACGTGTTAAAGGTGATATCAACGAATTTGAAATTAATATATATGACGAAAAGCATAAATTGGGTAAATATATTAATATTATATATAATATAATAAAATCGTTGATATGTATTATTTTTATATTATTAATATTTTATTAATTTTAGTTATGAGTTTTTGTCGAATATATACAAATGTTTCATCTGCGAATGATTATAAAAACTTGTTTAGTATTTTATTTAATGTAATTCAAGAACTTACTAATAAAACTTTATGTATATATCATATACACGGAAAAGGTTGGGAATGCATATTAGGTGATTTAGATAGCGGGCAAGCAAAAGGATTGGGCCTTGCATTATATGAATTAGATATAACAAAGGATTGGGAAATGCATTTGATGCATATTTATAAATCATGTGTTGTACATTTTCAACGGTTTGTAATTATAATATAATGCGAACTGCAATTTGACTATAGAATATATTATACCCAGGGTATATAGTTTACTCTAAATAGTAAATACTGTATTTATTAATTAAATAATTTATTTTATTTTATAATTTAGAAATTTATATAATAAACATTTTTCAAAAGAAATTTACAATTTAGCAAAATCAATTATTAATACGCCTTCTCAAGAATTGGTCGAATCTATTTTAAATGAAATCGAAAATTCAAATGAACCTGGTGCAAAAGGTAAAATAAATTAATTTATTAAATTAAAATTTATTAAATTAAAATAATATTAACTCTATAAAAAAATTAGATTGGGCGAAATATTATAAAACTCCATGGATTATTTCATCTTTAAATATCAATATGTCAAAAATAGAACGTCATATTTGGAGAAAATATGGAAATAATACTAATATGGCGGAATCAGCCCATGCTTTAATTAACAAAGAAGGAAAGCAACTAAAATTAATGTCAGCTATTTTATGGTAATATACATATTTAAATTACTTATTATATATTATGGTTTATTTATTTTTTTAATTATTAATTTAATTTTTTAGTGGAAAACGATATGACGAAAGACTATTAAAAATTAAAGACACCCATGATAATTCAGGTATACCATATTCACAATGTGATAAAAGTCAAGTTAAACGATAACAAATTGAGTCAAATCGTAAAGGTAAATATGTATTATTATTTTTTTATTATAATTCATATATAAAATAATTTAATTTTTTATTTATAGTTACAAGACTTAAAAACTGTAAATCCGAAACAAAAAAAAAGAGAAAATTATCACCCACTAATACCACATGAAAAAAACCACGGTATAATACTACTAGTCAAATTGCAGATGAAATTGTAGTAGAAATTAAATCTGATACGGATGAAGCTAGTGAAATTAGAATGGATGATATGTCAACAAGTATTGAATTGCAAGAAAGAAAAATGGCATTATTGGAACGTCAACTAAAGCTCAGAAAAGAAACGGCAGAGGTAGAAGCTCTTGAATTACAGAATCAACAACTAAAAATCAATCTGGGTTTGGTTTAGTTTTAATCTAAACATATAGTTGTTTAATAATCATCGGGTTTCTTTGCATATAAATTAATTTACAAAATGTAAATTTGCTTTGTAGCAGTAATGAAATATGAATTTTCTTTGTAGCGGTAATGCTAAAGTAAATTTTATATATACTAAAAATGCGGTAATAATTTGTTCAAAATTACATATATTTTGTAGCAGTAATGCTAAAGTAAATTTTATATATGCTAAATGCGGTAATAATTTGTTCAACATTACATATATTTTGTAGCAGTAATGCTAAAGTAAATTTTATATATATTAAATGCAGTAATAATTTGCTCAACATTATATATTTTGTTTGTTAGGGAAAAAGTATGTATGTACGCATAAAATATTCAAGTGTACTTGTACGAAAAAATTTATATTAAATAAGTGTACGTACTATTAAAATTTATATACATCTGTACTAATTTGCGTTACCGTACTGTACTACTTTACTTACTACCTCACAATTTTGAAAATGATTCTACAACATAGTAGTACCAGGAACGTAGTGAAACGAAGTGTATTTTTTATATGGGAGTGAAATATTGATTGATAATTCCCTTTCACATGGCATCATATCTGGATTCTTGCGGCCTGTTTTATATATAACGATAATTCAATACGTATTGTAAATTTAGAGTTGGAACCTGTTTTATTTTATATATTAATTCCTTATTTTCAATATACGTTATAGTCACATTTTCCTATTTTATTTGTTTAAAACTTCGTATTTATCGTTATCGTTATTGTAATGATTAAGTACAAATACTGTATAATATTTGTAGGCAATAAATTATTTCTTTCACTTTTATTTATTTAAACTTTGTTAATCAATTAATGCTTCGAAATTAAGTTTGATATGGTGAGTGTTTAATTCTCACTTTACACGTTTGGGCTTGCGACGCATATTTACAATTGCAAGTCACTATACAGTATTGAGCGATTTTTTTTTGTACCAGGAACGTTGTAAACGTTATTACATATAAGCGAATTTTGTGATTTTGGTGATATTTTCGAATGTGATCTTCAAAATTTGTATGGTGCAGGTCATCTAATCACATTTCGAAATAATTGCTTGGGCTAAAAGTTTAATAACTTTTTAATAAATAATATTTTTTGAAAAAAACTTTCTATAATAATATTCTTTAATACCTAAAGTATATAGATATAGAAAGTTTTTTTTAAAAAAACGTTTTATTAAAAAGTTATTTTGAATTTAAAAATTCTTTTATTTCTTAATAAATTTAGAAAATTCAGCATTTTATTTATTATTAATAAATATTAAAATTTTCAGCGCTACTATATAAAATTTCTTCTCTCTCACGCTCTTTTTTTTTTATTCTTATCTTTTTAAAATTTCAGCACTATTAATCTATTATATAAATTTTAAAATTCAGCACTATTACTATTTGCCACTGTATACAGTACCCGGGGTCTTATTCAAGAATTTCATTTTTCAAATTGAATAGTATCCGTGGATACTGTGTGAGGAACCGGGTACTATATATGGGGATATTTCATATGAACAGTAGTAAATTCATATAGTTATACCCCGGGTACTATTCAAGAATCAAGCCAGGATGGTGATGAATAATACCCGGGTCTTAATCAAGGGGGGTATTATTTTTGGGGGATACTGTATACAGTGGTGAACGGTATATAAACAAAATTTAAAATTCAGCACTCTTACAGTATTCTTATATATCAATTTAAAATTCAGCACTATGATGCGACTAAAAGATCTGCACCATACCAATCAGATTAGCAAAATTTGTGATTATTGCAAAATTGTCTTACATTGATTGGTTGTTTATTTTCATTGTAGTCAAAGTGCAATTTAATTTTATGATGCCCCTGTTTTTGAAATTTTGTATTTACATGCAACAAATACTTTAATTTCAAAGATTTCTAAATGGTTTTTTAAGATTCTGAAATAGATTAAACTTTTATTAGTAGCAATACCAAAAGTTTGTTTATTGTATAACATTTAATGTACTACAGTTGATACTATTTAAATGCATACTGCATACTGTATAAATGAATAATTTTCTAAAAAAATTTAATAGTAATATGCATTTAGACAGTAAATTTTCTAGTATTTGATTGGCTAATACTGTTTAAATGCATAAAATTGATTTTTTTGTGTTCACCGATGGTATGCATTTAGACAGTATCAACTATATTTGCTTTTACAAAGTTTCTGCCTTTTGTTCTTTAATATATTGGTTTAAAAATTGCACTTATGTTCAATAAAATCTTAGTTTTATAGATTCTAAAATAGGTTTTCAAGATTTTAAGATAGGTAAAATTTTTATTAATAACAATGTTGAAGATTGGTATATAGAATTATTGAATACTGCAATATATAGTTAAAATTGCTTTTAAAAAAACTTTAACTT